TTAAATGGGAAAACGGAGGCAAGGTCATTGATAGCAAGCAGAAAAAGTGATGCTAAGAACAACCCTGAGGGACAGTCAGGGGAAAGTACATTAACCTGGACACAAATGTCTCAGACAAGAAATTTTTAAGGAAAAGCAGCAGATTGCCCAAAATGCCTAAGGAATGAACTTGGGCCAAAATGTTATAACTTCAGGTAGTGTAATGTTAAAAAAAAAAAAAAAAAAAAAAAGCAACAACAAAGTACACATACCATCCGACTTACGACCGAGTTCGGTTCCGAGAAACCAGTCGTAAGTAGAAATGGTCGTAAGTCGAACTTTACTACTGAATATCAGCAAAACATTTTTGTAATGACTATTTTGTTTTATTTTGGTATTTCATGTTTTACTTTACTTTTTATGTTGTTAATACTGTATTTTATACTGTAAGGTTTAGGATAAACACTGTACAACACAAATAGTTGATTATTTCCCAGAAATTTGGCATAAAAAACACGGTCGTAAGTCAAGTGGTAGGTGTATTTACAAGCAACAACATTTTTTTTTTTAACACGGCCGTTTCCCGAGGCAGGGTGACCCAAAAAGAAAAACCGAAAAAAAAAAAACTATCATTCAACACTTCACCATCACTCATACATAATCACTGTCTTTGCAGAGGTGCTCAAATACAACAGCTTAGACATCCCTCCAAACTGCCAATATCCCAAACTCCTTTAAAGTGTAGGCATTTTACTTCCCTTTCCAGGTAGTAGGAGTACAAATATTAAAATGGAGTAAGGGGCCAATAGTGGATTGGCCCTTACAAAAGCCAAATTGACAAGTGGAAATAAAATTGTGCATCTCCAAATACCACAACAAATGTCTATTCACTAGAGGGTCTAACAACTTGCAAACTGTACTAGTAAGAGCAATGAATCAATAGTAGTAGGCATCATGGCCTGAAGTACCTGGTTTATGAGAAGGCAAAGCAATGGCAGGAAGAACCCCTTGCAACCAAACAAGATTAAAGTGACATCAGAGGATAGGAGAGAGCACAACTGTACATAGGGGTGGATAACCTTCCATAACAGTAACAGATGAATTACAAAATAAGAGAGACTCAGACAGGAAAAGTAAAATATTTGGGAATGGTATGTGATTTAGGGGCTAAAGGAAACTTGCACTTTGGTGATGCTTTAGACTGAAGAAGTGGGGATATGAAGTGATGATTTAGTTGGGGAGGTCGTGTAGATGTAACAAGTGAAAAGATGAAATGATATTTGTACTGCATGTGTACTGTATCACAAAGGATCATCTTGATTAAGTCCATTTACTCCAAGTAAACAGTTCAAGGATAGGGGTAGTGTATGCTAGGAGAAAAAATGAAGTGCATTTTGGAGCTTAAAAAAAAGGTGCAAATAATGAATATGCAAGAGAAGCATTTGGACCTGTTCCAAATAAGCTCATTTGTCATGCCAGTGTAGCATTACATGGGAATCATTTGCCAATACAGGCCTTAGTATTTGCTTTCAACAGATATTTGCTCAACCAAAGAACTGGACTTTGCAAAGCTGATAAAAAAAAAATCATCTTTGGAATACTATCTTGAGAACAGGCAAAAGTTAGAATTTTATATTCAACCCTACAATAATGTTTTACAAATTAATGTTTAATTAAGAAGCTTACATTCATTTTATAGGGAAAGTCTTAGGTCCTTAAAATGCTAAAATTTCAAGTATTTTAATTTTTAGATTATAATTTATGTGAAAGTTTATTCAAAGTTACAGGTATTACAATTAAGAATTCTAAAAATATAAATATCAGAATGATGGAGTTAGAATTTTCTTAAATATTTAGCAACTAATTTAAAATAATTACTGAAACAGTGCACACACCATACAGTACAGACAAGTTCCACTTCAGGGCATTTTGCTAATACAGTGTTTTTTCAATTATACCCATTCTTCACTTATTCAGACTTGCTACAATATATTCACCACTCACTATAAGCTAAGGACAAAAATATTTTAATGTGTGTACTGTATATGCATATTTTAGGCACAGCTCTATTGCACTTAATATATGATAGTGTAAACATATTATCAGGCTTTTTATATACATTTCAAAGTGAAAAAAAAAAAACATTCACTTTATAGTAGTAGCATGGAACCTAACCTGCTGTATAAACGGGGCCCTCCTGTACATGTACTAGTACATACATTATTTCACTAATTAGTTATGCTAGCTAAACAATAACCCACACATTTGTCTGAAAGTGGGTCATTAGGTTCCATACATAGGCTATGAAAGCCAGCAGCTTCAATGATAGCCTAAATTTAGAATATAAATTATATTAATAATGAGGTTTTCTACTGTCAAAAATGTACCTAGGAAGAACAAGGGTAATTAAATGTGAAATATGTGGAAGATATCTCTTCAGCATATATAAACACAGCCATGAGCAATGACCTTAATTAACCCTTTCAGGGTCCGTCCCGTAGATCTACGGCTTTACGGTGAGTGTCCAAACTGTAGATCTACGCCATGAGCTCAGCTCACTCTGATAAACTGTGAGTGGTACATTTGGGCCTAGATATGAGAGAATACATCTATGTGGTATGTGTGCACCACATAAAACAGATCCTGCAGCACACTGTGTATAATGAGAGAAAAAACTGAAATCATGATTTTTCGATTAAAACAGCGACTTTGCAGTGTTTTTTCGTATGTTTTTTATAGTTGTATTTGCGATTTCTTGGTCTCATTTGATAGAATGGAAGACATATTACAGAAATAGAGATGATTTTGATTGGTTTTAGCACTGGAAATGGCTTGAAACTGAGCTCAAAGTAGTGGAAATGTTAAATTTTTGCTGATATTCAAGAGTAAACAAACGACCTCACACATCTAATACACGTCAGCTGGTGGGTCTAATATACATTCACAAATATGGTGATGATATTTATACAATTATTACAGTATTGCATAACAGTAAATCTTCTATTTTTTGGTGTGAATAAAAATTCATTACGTGAATAAAAAATCAAAATGGAATTTATTTGTAAAGCCTCAAAATGTAACTAATGAACAGAGGAAATGTTAGTTTAGTTCCAGGAATACCTACATTGTTTATTCTGGAGCCTATTTTGAAATTGGAATATTTTGAACTTTGTGTTAAATTGGCCAAATTAACAATTTCCGATCACTTTATTTTGTAGTTGAAACAGTTGATTTGGCGATTTCTTGTGCTCAATCGATAGAATAGAAGTAATACTAGTGAAATAGCTAAGAATTTGGTTGATTGGAATAATGTAATTGGCCTAAAATGGGAGTCAAAGTCGGCAAAATCGCCAACTCGTAAATATCGCTGACACATCAAAATTCGCAAGAGCATAATTTCGTCAATTTTCCACCAAATTTCGTATTTTGTTTTATTACCTTCACAAAAAGATTCTCTACGATTTCATAAGAAAAATAATTTTTTTTTTTTAAATTCTTGGACACTGGTGCGTGACTTCAGATTTTGGCCTTGGACACTGAAAGGGTTAAACTGATAGTTTTTGAGCTTGTACTAGATCTAGGAAGTTAAGTAAGCATGAGGGAAATGTACAGTAGTAGTGTTTTCAGAAAACTTAGACTATAGGTTGCTCAGCTTTAATAGAACTAAACATGTTTATATGTATAACAAACAGAATAATCTACAAAAACAAAACCCTTCATACTACATGGAAAAAACAGCATTAATTAAAAATCCCATTAAATAAATGTCAAAGGTTTCCTAAGATCCCTACAGGCACCACATGCTGTATAGCCCTTGTGGCTTAGCGCTTCTTTTTGATTATTATAATAATAATAATACAGGCACCACAGTAATTATATATATATATATATATATATATAAAAAAAAAGTGAATGCAGAAAGGCCATCCCTCATCCTCATATCAAACAGGCAGAGGTAAACCACAGTACTGTATCATCCTTTAGAGACAATACTAGGATCTGCACGAGTGTCATCCACTGAGGACACAGCAAATCTCCAAGAAGATATAAACCAAGTTTTCCAATGGGCAATGGAGAACTACGTAATGTTCAGTGAAGACAAAGTCCAACTACTCCGTTATGGAAAACTGGAGGAAATAATAGCTAGGACTGAGCATACCACAAACTCTGATCACACAGTAGAGCAGAAAAGTAATGGTGTGGTAATGTCCAAAGATCTCACCTTCAAGGACCACAACAATGCCACTATCACATCTGTGAGGAAACTGATAGGATGGATAATGAGAACATTCAAGACAAGAAATGATAAGCCAATGATGAACCTATTTAAATCTCTCTTGGCTGGAATACTGCTGTACATTGACATCCCCATTCAAGGCAGGTGAAATTGCAGATCTAGAGAATGTGCAGAGAACCTTGACTGGACGTATAAGTTCCATCAAACACCTTAACTACTGGGAACACCTGGAAGCACTTGACTTGTACTCAGTAGAGTGCAGGCAAGAGAGATATCATAATCTACACCTGGAAGATTCTGGAGGGACTGGTGCCTAATCTGCACACAAATCACTCTCTACGAAAGCAAAAGACTTGGCAGGCGATGCAACATATCCCCAGTGAAAAGTAGGGGCACCACTGGTACACTAAGAGAAAACACTAAGTATCCAGGGCCCACGACTGTTCAGCAGCCTCCTACCAGCCGTAAGGGGCATTACCAATAGACCCCTGGTTGTCTTCAAGAGGGAGCTGGACAGATACCTAAAGTGGGTGCCAGATCAGCCGGGCTGTGGTTTGTATGTTGAACTATGTGCGGCCAGCAGTAACAGCCTTGTTGATCAAGCCCTGATCCACCGGGAGGCCTGGTCGTGGACCAGGCCATAGGGGCGTTTATGAATGTCCTCCAGGTTAAAATGTGGACAAACTGTTACACTGTGTACCAGTCAGTGGCATACCACCAACTATACTTAGGGAGGATGGAAAGGGGAGGAAGAAGCAGGTGCACCTGCAAATGTGGCTATGGATGAGGCATGTGCCAGATCCAGTCTCAACGAGCACTTTTTTTTTTTTTTTAAATAATGAATCCTGTTGAAGGAGGAGGGCCAAACACCCACATCCTGAAAAACTGTATAATTTGCTGCCAGTCTAAGTTCCACTGGGGTGGCCACTTTCCAAGGGTATATCATACAGAAAGCCTTTCTTTCCCAAGACACTAATATGGCTTGGGCTCCAACAGTACTCCATATCCTTGTGACAAGCATAGACATGCTAATCACTCTAGAATCTTCTGGACCACCCAGTGCTCCAGAAGATACCAACAGGCTGCCCAGGCATTATAAAAAAATTACAACAAAGACAGAAAGATGTAAGCCATGAAGACACTTAAAATGAGTTTCACAGTCAGCAGCATGCCACAAGCCACAGGAGGTGGGGCCAGGAGCTGATTTAACCCCTGCAACCACAAACAGGCAAGTACAGAAATGAGGACAAGCACCTGCAAACATTATATCTGCCAGCCATATTCTAGCCTGGAATGGCACAAGGCCACATACAGGAAGTGTACTGTCTCCTGATCTGCCCCAGGTACAGTGGAGAACACCTTAAACTGTCCAAACGTAGATCTACGTCTGTGTGTGTAGTGCTCCGACCTTGATTTTCTCCATTTGAAAGTGTGTAAAAGAAAAACATAGATCTACGTTTGGACAGTTTAAAGGTTAAGAATGATTAATGCCTACAGAGCATCCATTAGTTTCTTCATATGAAAGGCCCACATCAGTCAATGATCACAGGAAGGACCACACCATAGGAAGCAGGCTGTTGAATCCAGGATGTAAAACGAACAGTAACCACATTTCTAGTGGTAAATCAGTGGCCAATAGAAACAACCTATACTATGTAGTTGTCCACTGCCACCTGATGCCAGTGACAGGAAATTCCTGGAGTAGATGCCACGTAGTACACTGCAAAATCTATTAAACGTTTAAGAAGGCCTTGACACCAGAGGTCAGAGTTCATCCACGGATATAATGCAACATATGGAAGAAGAACAAAAAGGCTCAATACTGTGACTGGAACAAATAACCTGCACATAAGAGAATAAAACTTATGACAATGCTTCGGTCCAACTTGGACCATTGACTAGTCTCTCACGAGTGCAAAGGGAGCCAGTATATATATACGAGGGGGAGACTTGTCAATACCATTACTCCCTTATTACCACCTCTGCCACTATTGCACTAACTACTACTACCACCACCACTACTTCCTCTATACTTCTACTTCTCTCTCCCAGATCCAACCCTCTCTCATATATATAACGGCTTCCATCCCTTCACGCTTGTGTGAGATTAGTTAATGGTCCAATTTGGACAGAAACATCATCCTAAGTTTCATTCCCCAATGTGCAGGTTATTTGTGAATACAACATGTGAACCATAAAATGCTGCCATGCAGATTCCATCAAGGGGCAACTGCCACAAATAGCATGAACCCTCACCTTGAATGATCTGCTAGACAAACTATAGATTTAGTGAAATGAAAGGTGACATGAAAAGTACCTGGCAAACCCTCTCCAAAATTTTGGGCTCAAGAAAACTGACTGGAAATAGAGAGACTTAACTAAACCAGATGAACCTCACATGCAACCTATAGACACGGCCGACAAATTTAATGTCTTCTTCTCTACCGTAGGATCAAAGCTAGTGAGCCAAATTCCTAGCTCAAATACCCATCCGAGCGAGTACCTCACTGGCAACTATCCAAACACACTATTCCTAGCTCCAACTAATCCCACTGAAGTCTCACTCATCATTAAATCATTAAAAAACAAATCAGGTAATCTAGATAACTTGCCACCATTCATATATAAAAAAGCTGCACCAAAACTGTTGCCCATTATTGCAACAATGTTTAACAAATCTATAGCTTCCTCAACCTTCCCATCCATGCTCAAGACAGCAAGGGTCACCCCGATCCACAAAGGTGGAGATCCAACTGATTTGAACAATTAAAGACCCATATCAAACTTGCCCTTACTATCCAAGATATTTGAAAAAATAATACACAAGCGACTTTACTCCTACCTTACATCCAACAACAAACTTAACCCATACAAGTTTGGATTTAGACCATAAAAAAGCACGAATGATGCTACTATACAAATGCTTGACCTAATATACACAGCTCTCGATAAGAATGAATATCCCCTGGGGCTCTTTGTCGACCTAAGAAAAGCGTTTGACACAGTTGACCACAATCTCTTGCACCTCAAACTGAATCATTATGGCATAAGACTACCTAAAATCCTATTCTTAATGACAGACACCAGTATGTACATGCAAATGGAATGAACTCTGCTATCCAACCTGTAGTTGTAGCAGTACCCCAAGGTAGTGTCCTAGGCCTACTCCTCTTTCTCATCTACATCAATGATCTCCCCAATGCATCCCAACTCCTTACACCAGTTCTATTCGCAGATGACACTACATATGTCTACTCCCATTCAGACCCAGCTGTGCTTGAAAACACTAAGCAATGAACTGCTAAAAATATATGCTTGGATGATGACCAACAAACACACACTTAACATAGAAAAAACTTACTTCATGCTGTTTGGCAACAGCCTCAAATATTCAACTCAACTTACTGTTAAATGGTTTCCCTATGGCCTATATCAAGGCACACGGAGGGCAAATTTCTAGGCCTTCTCCTTGACTAATCTTAAATTTCAGTCCCATACCCATCACATAGCCAAGAAAATTTCCAAACCAGTAGGAATCCTTTCCAAGATACGCTATTATGTACCACAAACGACTCTCCTTCCCTTGTACCACTCTCTAATATATCCTTACCTCACCTATGGTATCTGTGCCTGGGACTACCACAGCCAACCACCTTAGACCCTTAATAATCCAACAAAAAGCTGCTGTGCAGGTGACAACCAGCTCCTGTGCTAGACAGCACACACCACCACTTTTCAAATGACTCAACTTGCTAAATATACAAGACATACACTCTTATTATTGTGCCTACTACATATACAGAACTTTAAAGTCCACTGTAACCCCCCCCCCCTAAAACTACTCCTCGACAGTTACAACAGAATGCACAGTCACAATCCAAGGCATAAGGCCCTTTTCAACATCCCTCAAGTAAAACGCTCACTATGCAAGAACGCTATGCATATACAAGGCCCAAAGATCTGGAACTCGCTACCGGAACAAGTCAAGGATCCCCAGACAACTTATAAATTTAGGACTGCTAAAAAATCATGTTATCGCACAATATTAACCAAATCGACCAAACATCTACTGGCTAGTTTTATCATGTGACCTCCTGGCTTTTAATTCTGCTATTCCATAAAATATTACCACCTGCACCATTCCTTGTAAATTAGATTTTGTACTAAGTATACATAAGATTAAGGCCAAACAAGATTGTAAAACAGCTAACCACTACGTATTCTATGTTTAGTTTTAAGTAATAATTACTATGTACTATTATCTTATCTAGTTTTAATTAGTTACTATGTATTAGGATTAGTTTGCCCGAAATGCCTTGGCATGATAGTGGCTATCTTTGTACCTAGCAAATCAAAATTGTAATTACACATTGTAACCTTTACAAAGAAATAAAATTATTACTATTATTATTATTATTATTATTATTATTATCGGAGAACCCAGAACAAACAGTAGTGCAGTCCCAGAGACTTAGACAGTGAAGGACAAACCACATTGTGTCAGGCTGCCAAGGAATGAAGGCATCTGACTAACCATCTTGAACATAACAAGCTAGCCAAACCAAAGAAGATATCGGGAATGGAAACTGAGGAAGCCAAAATGCACCAATGGGATGCAGCCTTTCGTCTTTAGATACCAAATGAGACTAACATTCAACATCCTTTCCAACAACTTGCAAATGTAGCTTGTCGGAGATCAGGTGGCAGCTTGTGGCTACCCTGGAGTTTGGGCCTGGATTTTTTATAGCCAGAACTACAGGCAGCTACCTACTGTGGTAAAGCACCCTCATTTTTTTTTTTTTTTTCAACAAGTCGGCCGTCTCCCACCGAGAGGAAGGAGCCACAATATTTTAAAAGTGGACCCTGTCCATTCCCAGAGCCATGGAGAGCAATGCCAATAAGGCAGACCTCAATTCCCCCATCCCTTCCCAGCATCTTTACAAGTCTCATTACTGTAATTCCTAAGGCTTGAGACAAAGGAGAAGCCTTTAGAAAAGGCATTGGCCACCTCAATGGTTGTCAGTTTGACCATGATGGAGAATGTGGGCTCAGGGAGTACTTCCCCAGACTTCTTTCTGACCTCATTCCATATCTGTCCAGGAGTTTTGGAGTCAGTTCCTCCATGCATCCTTACCTATCCTTCCTTCCCCATCTCACCAAAGCTCTGGTCAGAACCTCGCCTCTCCATGCAATGGACCCAGGACATGCTGGGTGTTTCTGAATACCCTCCTTTTGATGAGTAATACCCAATGGTATATCAGCTTATTAACCAGGAAATAATAGCCCCTGAGGCAATGATGGAATGTATACACAATCCAATGGTGCTTCTCAGTCCTATCAAGGGATCAGCAGATAACACCCTGAGCCACCAATGAATGCTAGCCTCCACCTCCCAGATGACAAAATGATCATAGGCCCCTGCACATCATAAAAATCACAAGACATCATCTGCCTGAGCCTCAGAGTCACCAGCTTCCAACTTCCACTGCAGAGGTCAGATTGAAGGAAGGAATCCTAAAGGAAAACAGGCCATCATCATAAGTCCAGATACACAAATGGAATGTAGAGAGACCTATGCCTATGAAGGCATTCATATGAACATTATGATAGGTCAGAGATCCATCATTTAGGATACTAATATCCAAAGGAGTTAGCACAGCATCCCACATGTAGTGGTGAGTATTAAGTCATTCAGGAGAAATAAACAGGGTAGCTAACAGATTGAGTCAGCAAGATCAGAGGTCTAAAACCCAATCTGGAGGACACACTAGGTGCACACTGTCATGTCCCCCTGCAGAATTACCCAGATTGCTACAGCCTGCAGGCTGTGGAATATACAATACTGAATCTCACTCTGGACAGCAGCATAGCATTGTACCCACACCTTCCTTAGCAGTTACACCAGAAGGGAAGTAAAGAGACATAGAAAAAAAACATGGAACCCTGGGATAACTCCTCCAGCAAACACAGAACTGATAGGCCATAGTCTTAAAGAGGACATGAATGTTTTTAGTATGGCGCCTAATACCCTAACAGCTCCACTGAACGAGAAATCACATTGAGCCAAAGGAAGCAGGAGCCACCATCTGGGTAATGTCCACAGAGGAAATACTACCGACAGTCGGCTCACTTCACCTTTGTAGACTGGTCCTTGATCACAGATTTAACCCACAAGGTGTCTGATCCAAAGCTCTTATTGGTTAAAGAAAGGCCAGGTCCTTTTGGGGAGTGGTTCCTCTTTCTCAAAGGAAGAGGGGGAGGGCAACTTCAAACTACTTCCTCTAGGAGGAAGCATTAGGGTGTGGAGCTTCTGTTGTCACAGTCCCAGCTGGAAACAGAGGACAAAAATTTGCATAATTTTTCCCCATTCTTAGAACCTGAGGATGACCCTGAATCCTTAGAGCATCTAATACACTGCACTCACATGCACTTTTATTCCTTAGAGTTCTATTGTCAGTCCACTGCCAGAGGACAAGTAACCTTGGCTACTCTTAGTATGGTTAAAGTCCACAAATAAGGAGTGAGCTGAGTGTTTATGCTGATATTTTTGTTAGTCACTATCTTGAAATGATGGAATATGAATCTAGTTGCCCTATTATAATCTTAAGTCATAAACACCCTTGAATTAGGGATAACTAGGAAGAAATGTTTAAAAATTTAGTTAACCTGTTACAGAATTTATATAATTTAGCTTCTTGTAAAGAACAAGGAATAAAGCCTACTATATCTGTTGCCTACATCTTCCCAAAACTTGTGTGTCGCTAGTATTTCAGATTAATTTATCTTGTGAAAAGCTAGGAGGAAGGCAGGGACAGCACCAGAATTTCTATACTGTGGGGACTTGGGGTGGTTATCTTGTTGGAAGGGGGGCTATTATAATATTTTAAAATTAGTATAATATTTTTCAAAAATTGTAATATTTTAAAATTATATCATTACTATATTTGAGAGGCTGAGGGAATTTTGGGGAACTTCAGCCCTCCCCCTTTCTTTGGTGCCACCACTGAGTAAAGCCTGGCTCACTTTTTGGAAGCTATGATCCCCCACAATTTAGGAACAGCCCATAAACCTTTTAAATTATGTTGTGAATGACAGAGCAATTAAAAAAAAAAAAAAAAAAAAAAAAAAAAAGCTCAACTGTTACATTTAAGTGAAAAAATTACTGATTATGCAAAGAATTTCAGGCATTTCATTACACCAATCATTCACATGAGGCTAGACGAAATCAACGTAGAACACATCTCATTATTTTATTATCACACCGGCCGATTCCCACCAAGGCAGGGTGGCCCGAAAAAGAAAAACTTTCACCATCATTCACTCCATCACTGTCTTGCCAGAAGGGTGCTTTACACTACAGTTTTTAAACTGCAACATTAACACCCCTCCTTCAGAGTGCAGGCACTGTACTTCCCATCTCCAGGACTCAAGTCCGGCCTGCCGGTTTCCCTGAATCCCTTCATAAATGTTACTTTGCTCACACTCCAACAGCACGTCAAGTATTAAAAACCATTTGTCTCCATTCACTCCTATCAAACACGCTCACGCATGCCTGCTGGAAGTCCAAGCCCCTCGCACACAAAACCTCCTTTACCCCCTCCCTCCAACCCTTCCTAGGCCGACCCCTACCCCGCCTTCCTTCCACTACAGACTGATACACTCTTGAAGTCATTCTGTTTCGCTCCATTCTCTCTACATGTCCGAACCACCTCAACAACCCTTCCTCAGCCCTCTGGACAACAGTTTTGGTAATCCCGCACCTCCTCCTAACTTCCAAACTACGAATTCTCTGCATTATATTCACACCACACATTGCCCTCAGACATGACATCTCCACTGCCTCCAGCCTTCTCCTCGCTGCAACATTCATCACCCACGCTTCACACCCATATAAGAGCGTTGGTAAAACTATACTCTCATACATTCCCCTCTTTGCCTCCAAGGACAAAGTTCTTTGTCTCCACAGACTCCTAAGTGCACCACTCACTCTTTTTTCCCTCATCAAATTTTATGATTCACCTCATCTTTCCATAGACCCATCCGCTGACACGTCCACTCCCAAATATCTGAATACGTTCACCTCCTCCTACTCTCTCCCTCCAATCTGATATTCAATCTTTCATCACCTAATCTTTTGTTATCCTCATAACCTTACTCTTTCCTGTATTCACCTTTAATTTTCTTCTTTTGCACACCCTACCAAATTCATCCACCAATCTCTGCAACTTCTCTTCAGAATCCCCAAGAGCACAGTGTCATCAGCAAAGAGCAGCTGTGACAACTCCCACTTTGTGTGTGATTCTTTATCTTTTAACTCCCACGCCTCTTGCCAAGACCCCCCGCATTTACTTCTCTTACAACCCCATCATAAATATATTAAACAACCACGGTGACATCACACATCCTTGTCTAAGGCCTACTTTTAAATGGGGAAAAAAATTTTCCCCCTTTCCTACATACTCTAACTTGAGCCTCACATCCTCGTAAAAACTCTTCAAATCTTTCAGTAACCTACCTCCTACACCATACACTTGCAACATCTGCCACATTGCCCCCCTATTCCCACCCTGTCATACGCCTTTTCCAAATCCATAAATGCCCCCAAAGACCTCTTTAGCCTTATCTAAATACTGTTCACTTATATGTTTCACTGTAAACACCTGGTCCACAAAACCCCCTACCTTTCCCAAAGCCTCCCCTTTTTCATCTGCTATCCTATTCTCCGTCTTACTCTTAATTCTTTCAATTATAACTCTACCATACACTTTACCAGGTACACTCAACAGACTTATCCCCCTATAATTTTTGCACTCTCTTTTTTCCCCTTTGCCTTTATACAAAGGAACTATGCATGCTCTCTGCCCAAACCCTAGGTACCTTACCCTCTTCCATACATTTATTAAACAATTGCACCAACCACTCCAAAAATATATCCCACCTGCTTTTTAACATTTCATCTTTATCCCCTCAATCCCGGCTGCCTTACCCCCTTTCATTTTAAAACCCACTGCCTCACGAACTTCCCCCACACTCACAACTGGCTCTTCCTCACTCCTACAAGATGTTTTTTCCTCCCTTTCCCTATAAAACGAAATCACAGCTTCCCTATCTTCATCAACATTTAACAATTCCTCAAAATATTCCTTCCATCTTCCCAATACCTCTAACTCTCCATTTAATAACTCTCCTCTCCTATTTTTAACTGACAAATCCATTTGTTCTCTAGGCTTTCTTAACTTGTTAATCTCATCCAAAACTTTTTCTTATTTTCAACAAAATTTGTTGATAACATCTCACCCACCTCTCTCATTTGCTCTCTTTTTACATTGCTTCACCACTCTCTTAACCTCTCTCTTTTTCTCCATATATCTTCCCTCCTTGCATCACTTCTACTTTTTTAAAAACTTCTCATATGCTAACTTTTTCTCCCTTACTACTCTCTTTACATCATCATTCCACCAATCGCTCCTCTTCCCTCCTGCACCCACTTTCCTGTAACCACAAACTTCTGCTGAACACTCTAACACTACATTTTTAAACCTACCCCATACCTCTTCGACCCCATTGCCTATGCTCTCATTAGCCCATCTATCCTCCAATAGCTGTTTTTATCTTACCCTAACTGCCTCCTCTTTTAGTTTATAAACCTTCACCTCTCTCTTCCCTGATGCTTCTATTCTCCTTGTATCCCATCTACCTTTTACTCTCAGTGTAGCTACAACTAGAAAGTGATCTGATATATCTGTGGCCCCTCTATAAACATGTACATCCTGAAGTCTACTCAACAGTCTTTTATCTACCAATACATAATCCAACAAACTACTGTCATTTCGCCCTACATCATATCGTGTATACTTATTTATCCTCTTTTTCTTAAAATATGTATTACCTATAACTAAACCCCTTTCTATACAAAGTTCAATCAAAGGGCTCCCATTATCATTTACACCTGGCACCCCAAACTTACCTACCACACCCTCTCTAAAAGTTTCTCCTACTTTAGCATTCAAGTCCCCTACCACAATTACTCTCTCACTTGGTTCAAAGGCTCCTATACATTCACTTAACATCTCCCAAAATCTCTCTCTCTCCTCTGCATTCCTCTCTTCTCCAGGTGCATACACGCTTATTATGACCCACTTCTCGCATCCAACCTTTACTTTAATCCACATAATTCTTGAATTTACACATTCATATTCTCTTTTCTCCTTCCATAACTGATCATTTAACATTACTGCTACCCCTTCCTTTGCTCTAACTCTCTCAGATACTCCAGATTTAATCCCATTTATTTCCCCCCACTGAAACTCTCCTACCCCCTTCAGCTTTGTTTCGCTTAGGGCCAGGACATCCAACTTCTCATTATATGCGGTATATCTATTATATAAATTTTCAAAAATTAATATTTTTACCTTGAGTCTAAAATTTTTACAATATATTATGCAATTTTAGTAGAATTTTTATGTTTTATATCATGTGAAGTATTTATTGCTAACTTTACAATGAAATAGTATCTAAATGAAATGCAATACATCTGGGCCCTAGAAAATGCATATTATCCCATAAAACTTGGTAGAGTTATTCTCATCCTCCTGATATACCTTTGATGAGTTTCGAGAATCTTGCTACTCTTGGAGCCCGGCCATGGGCCAAGCTTGTCTCGTGCTTGCCTGGTCAACCAGGTCCTCTACATACCAGGTGGGGAAGGAGAAGAATACATTTTCACCTTCATGGTTTACCAGATAGGCTTCGACTTTCCCAGGATGACCATGGCTTGTGGATTACACACACCTCACCTACTCCCAATTGGGTCTTCCTGCATTAGTGTCTTGAGGCCAGCGATAAAATGTTGCTTCTTCTGTAGGGGCAAATAAATAGGTAAATTTCTGTAATGCAATCACAAAAAGTCAAAGAAAAAAATAAATCATTACAAGCTTTACAATTTTGTTAAAATTATCAGGCGTTTAATTTTTTTTTAACAGCTTGTTTCCCCATCAAGAAACACATTCATCATAAATCATTCCAGCATTGTTTTTACAGAGGATATTGTAAGTAAGTAATTTCAAAAGGAACACAAGCAAAAAAAACTAACCTTTTCATCGAGATCAAGTCAGCTGGAGTCCAATGGCTATATATCTGTTTATCCAGGAATTGTTCCACCACTTTCTCCCCATGCTCACTCTGCTCTATTTCCAGGTGGAACAGCAGGTTCATATACCATTCTAAACTCGCACTGGAATGTAGCAGTTTAAGTTATATTTTATATTCCAGATAATACTAAACTGTGCATCCCTCAAGAAAACTTATGTCCACCTCTCTTGTTATCAAGACCAAACTACACCATATCTGGTCACTGCCAACTGATACTAGGAAATTACTCAAGACAGAACAGTATATACTGTATAGTCTTGGATGGTCCCCATATTTTAAATTTATACTGTTTATTGTGAAGCACTCTTAAGAAAATGTCACTTGACAAATTTTTGAAGGGTTATAGTTTTAGGAGTTACACGGGATCTCAGCAGATTTGTCAGCCAAGTTGGTTGGTCTAAGCTCATGTACAACCTTCAAAAACTGTCATACTGTAAGTCAAAATTTGGTGGTGTTATTTTCTCATAAGTGCAACAGAATAAGTATGGTGCAAATTAAAAAAAAAATTGACCAATTAATGTACAGGATTTTACTTGAAACCCTTTCTTAGGCATTCTCACTGCCTCCAGCCGCCTTACGACCACTTCATTAACTAAAAGTTAATACTACATACTTATAACTGTACTACTATAAATTGTAATACTGTATTTTTTTATAAACTACATCACAAGTATGAAAATAGTTTATGTTTCCATCACAAGTATAAATTTTATTACTGTAAACCATTAGCTACCTCACTGTTGTAATAAGGAAAATAATGTATATGTAATTAAAATCTACCACTTTACCTGTCTAATCTTAAGCATTAGGACTAGTCTGCCCAAAATGTCCCAGAATGTTTGTGGCTTTCTTTGTACCTAATTTTTTTTTTTTAACAAGTCGGCCGTCTCCCACCGAGGCAGGGTGACCCAAAAAGGAAAGAAAATCCCCAAAAAGAAAATACTTTCATCATCATCATTCAACACTTTCACCTCAATCACACAATCACTGTTTTTGCAGAGGTGCTCAGAATACAACAGTTTAGAAGTACGTATATACGTATAAAGATACACAACATATCCCTCCAAACTGCCAATATCCTAAATCCCTCCTTTAAAGTGCAGGCATTGTACCTTCCATTTCCAGGACTCAAGTTCGGCTATATAAAATAACCGGTTTCCCTGAATCCCTTCACTAAATATTACCCTGCTATCACTCCAACAGCTCATCAGGTCCCAAATACCATTCGTCTCCATTCACTCCTATCTAACATGCTCACGCACGCTTGCTGGAAGTCCAAGACCCTCGCCTACAAAACCTCCTTTACCCCCTTCCTCCCAACCTTTTTGAGGATGACCCCTACTCCGCCTTCCTTCCCCTACAGATTTATACGCTCTCCATGTCATTCTACTTTGATCCATTCTCTCTAAATGACCAAACCACCTCAACAACCCCTCTTCAGTCCTCTGACTAATACTTTTAACTCCACACCTTCTCCTAATTTCCACACCCCGAATTTTCTGCATAATATTTACACCACACATTGCCCTAAGACAGGACATCTCCACTGCCTCCAACCGCCTCCTCGCTGCAGCATTCACAACCCAAGCTTCACACCCATATAAGTGTTGGTACTACTATACTTTAATACATTCCCTTCTTTGCCTCCATAGACAATTTTTTGCCTCCACATATACCTCAATGCACCACTCACCTGTTTTCCTTCATCAATTCCATGATTAACCTCATCCTTCATAAATCCATCCGCTGATACGTCAACTCCCAAATATTATCTGAAAACATTCACTTCTTCCATACTACTCCTCCCCAATTTGATATCCAATTTTTCTTTATTTAAATCATCTGATACCCTCATCACCTTACTCTTTTCTATGTTCACTTTCAACTTTCTACCTTTACACACACTCCCAAATTCGTCCACTAACCTTTGCTATTTTTCTTTAGAATCTCCCATAAACACAGTATCAGCAAAAAGTAACTGTCACTTCTCATTTTGTATTTAATTCCCCAAAATTTAATCCCACCCCTCTCCTGAACACCCTAGCATTTACTTCTTTTACAACCCCATCTATAAATATATTAAACAACCATGGTGACATTACACATCCCTGTCTAAGACCTACTTTTACCGGGAGGTAGTCTCCCTCTCTTCTACACACCCTAACCTGAGCCTCACTATCCTCATAAAAACTCTTAACAGCATTTAGTAACTTCCCACCTATTCCATATACTACTTGCAACATCTGCCACATTGCTCCCCCTATCCACTATCACATGCCTTTTCTAAATCCATAAATGCAATAAAATCTTCCCTACCTTTATCTAAATACTGTTCACATATATGTTTCAGTGTAAACACTTGATCTACACATCCCCTACCCACTCTAAAACCTCCTTGCTCATCCGCAGTCATACATTCTGTCTTACCTCTAATTCTTTCAATAATAACCCTACCGTACACTTTTCCTGGTATACTCGGTAAACTTATTCCTCTATAAAATGTAAACACATATTGTAACCTTTGCGAAAATAAATAAATTTTGTCAATGTCTTTGCCCTGACTTACTAATATATTCAACAATCATACCATATGAAAAAAAAGACATTAGCATAAGTATAATAGCTTCTTCTTTTTTTGGCATTCACTGATACAACTTTTACTTCACATAAATGCCTTTACAAAACTTTTTTCAGTGCCTAGTACATATATATATGGTTTACCTCATCTTTCATACACTATCTGCAGTCACATTCACTTCTAAATACCTACTGTAAACATACACATTCACTTTTACTATACCTTTTACCTATCTGACAAAAAAAAATTTATTACCAAGGCTTTCACTTACATTACAAAACAATTGCAAGCCTAATTTTACTAGAAAATATCGCTCTCCTACATACCTTAACTTTAGCATATTACAGTGGACCCCCGCATACCAGACGCATTGCATAACGTACAATCCGCATACCGGACGCTTTGATCGCTAAAATTTTGCCTCGCATACCGCCCAAAAACCCGCTCACCGCCCTTCGTCCGAGACGCGTCCAATGTGCGGCCTAAGCCAGCCTCATATGTTCCGCCGGTGGCATTGTTTACCAGCCAGCCTCCGCGGTAACATCCAAGCATACAATCGGAATATTTCGTATTATTACAGTGTTTTCGGTGCTTTATCTGGAAAATAAGTGACCATGGGCCCCAAGAAAGCTTCTAGTTCCAACCCTACAGCAATAAGGGTTAGAATTCCAATAGAGATGAAGAAAGAGATCATTGATAAGTATGAAAGTGGAGTGCGTATCGCCGAAATGGTCAGGTTGTACAAGAAACCCAAATCAACCATCTCTACTATTGTGGGCAACAGAAAGGCAATCAAGGAAGCTGTTCTTGCCAAAGGTTTAACTGTGTTTTCGAAACAGAGATCGCAAGTGATGGAAGATGTTGAGAGACTCTTATTGGTGTGGATAAATGAAAAACAGCTAGCAGGAGATAGCGTTTCTCAAGCGATCATAAGCGAAAAGGCTAGGAAGTTGCATGAGGATTTAATTAAAAAAAGGCCTGCAACTAGTGATGATGTGAGTGAATTTAAGGCCAGCAAAGGTTGGTTTGAGAGATTTAAGAAGCATAGTGGCATACATAGTGTGATAAGGCATGGCGAGGCTGCCAGTTCGGACCACAAAGCGGCTGAAAAATATGTGCAGGAATTCAAGGAGTGCATAGACAGTGAAGGACTGAAACCTGAACAAGTGTTTAATTGTGATGAAACAGGCCTGTTTTGGAAGAAAATGCCAAGCAGGACCTACATTACTCAGGAGGAAAAGGCACTCCCAGGACATAAGCCTATGAAAGACAGGCTTACTTTGTTGATGTGTTCCAATGCTACTGGTGATTGCAAAGTGAAGCCTTTATTAGTGTATCACTCTGAAACTCCCAGACCGTTCAGGCAAAAAAATGTCCTCAAGGAAAATTTGTGTGTGCTGTGGAGGGCAAACAGTAAGGCATGGGTCACTAGGGACTTTTTCTATGACTGGTTACACCATGCATTTGCCCCCAATGTGAAAGATTACCTAACTGAAAAGAAATTAGAACTTAAGTGCCTCCTGGTGTTAGACAATGCCCCTGGTCATCCTACAGACGTGGCAGAGCGACTTTATGGGGACATGAAATTCATTAAGGTGAAGTTTTTGCCTCCTAATACCACTCCTCTCCTGCAGCCCATGGACCAGCAGGTTATTGCAAACTTCAAAAAACTGTACACAAAAGCTCTGTTTGAAAGGTGCTTTGTAGTGACCTCAGAAACTCAACTGACTCTAAGAGACTTTTGGAGAGATCACTTTAATATCCTCAATTGTATAAACCTTATAGGTAAGGCTTGGGAGGGAGTGACTAAGAAGACCTTGAACTCTGCTTGGAAGAAACTGTGGCCAGAATGTGTAGACAAAAGGGATTTTGAAGGGTTTGAGGCTAACCCTGAGAGGAGTATGCCAGTTGAGGAATCAATTGTGGCATTGGGGAAGTCCTTGGGGTTGAAGGTTAGTGGGGAGGATGTGGAAGAGTTGGTGGAGGAGGACAATGAAGAACTAACCACTGATGAGCTGATAGATCAACTTCAACAGCAAGAGGCCAGACCTGAGGAAACTGGTTCAAAGGAGGGGAGAGAGAAATTGAAGGAATTGCCTACTACAAAGATTAAGGAAATCTGTGCAATGTGGCTGAAAGTGCAAACCTTTATGGATGAAAATCACCCTCACACAGCTATTGCAAGCCGTGCTGGTGACTATTACACTGACAATGTTGTGAAACACTTTAGGGAAGTCATAAAGGAACGAGAGGTACAGGCCACTATGGACAGATATGTTGTGCGAAAGAAGTCCAGTGACTCTGAAGCTGGTCCTAGTGGCATTAAAAGAAGAAGGGAAGTAACCCCAGAAAAGGACTCGACACCTCAAGTCTTAATGGAAGGGGATTCCCCTTCTAAACACTAACACTCTCTCTCCCCTCCTCCCATCCCATCAATCATCACCAGATCTTCAATAAAAGTAAGTGTCATGTAATTGTGCATGCCTTTTTCAGTTTGTGTACTAAAATTAACATTTCATGTGGTAAAAATTTTTTTTTCATACTTTTGGGTGTCTTGCACGGATTAATTTGATTTCCATTATTTCTTATGGGGAAAATTCATTCGCATACCGAACATTTCGCATAACAGCCAGCCCTCTTGCACGGATTAAGGTCACTATGCGGGGGTCCACTGTATAAGAATAATTTAGCTTTAAATAACCTACAATCATTTATAAACATTTGCAACAC